TCTCATACAACTTCCTTATTTTAAGAAAAACACATACTGTTTTGATATGAAGGTTTTTTTGGTTGATATTTTAATTAAAAATTGATCATAAGTTTCAGTGTTTCATGCTATATCCAAATCTTCCTTTTGGGGTACCTGAAAGATCCCAGTTATTCATTTAATAGTCAGAATCTTTGTTTTTTATAACTAAAAAAAATTTATTCAATGCATATTACTGTTTCAAATAGAATTGGCTACAGATGGTTCAGTGAAATGGGTATTAAGTGTAATCAATAGACATTGGAGAGCACAGTGAAATATTGATACAATCAAAGCTGTTGTTGTAGTCTGCTGAGCAGAAAATGGAAATCCCTTCCTGTGAAGTATGTGTGTGTGAATTTATCCACAGGATTAATTTTAAAGAAAAATTCTGCGTTGGGAACAGGAGTTTAGCCACAGGTGGGTCCTCATTGTCCACTCACCCACTTTGCAACTAGACCCATCCCCTCGGGGCTTACCCTGCTCCACTCCAGCCAGGGTGTGGGGTTGGGGCTTATCCTCTTTTCCCTTCTGTCCTGCTCCTCCCCATTCTTGCCCACCTACACCACTGGGTAATTTTTCAGCTTCACCTCTGCCAGGCTGGAAGGGATTGTTAATTTCCCCCGTTTGTAACTAGGGATCCGATGTAAGTCGGAATGATGTAACCCGGGGACTGCCTGTAACTACCTATCCAGATATGAAAAAGGCATCTTACTCTAATGTACCTGAAGAGTTTAAAACACAAGAGTAATCAGCTTTGATTGTCTTCCACTCAGAAGTCGTCCAGCCACTGAACAATGGCTCTGGCCTAGGGAAGAGCAAGGCAGAAGGAAACTTGTCAAATGACAGCGTACAAAACCTTATTTAAGGGCTGGATCTATTCCAATCTCCCCCTCTCAATAGCTGCCATCACCTGCCAAGGAAGACTGTAGAAAACAGAGGAAAAAACCTGCTTCACACATTGACCGGGCCTAAATACTCACAAGAAGGGGTGAGTACACACTCAGGTGAGAGATGTATACGTTTGCCGTTTTCATGTAAGAGTTACAAATGTTCAGGCTTTGAAAATAAAATTGCTGTGATATTAGAAATACCCATGCTGAGCCTAATTTTTCCAGCTACATAGTCCCCCAGGAAATAAACCATAAACCAGAGCACCATGGAGACGTGGAACTCTCCATGAGAGTGAATAATTGACTAGGGAAGCTTGGGAGGTCTTATCGTTGACTGCAGGGCCTACAGATGTTGAATTGCTGAATTCCAAATAAGACCACAAGAGGACATACTGGTTTAGGCCAAAGGTCCATCTAGCCCAATATCCTATCCTCTGACAGTACCAATTCCAGGCGCTTCTGAGGGAATGAACAGAACAGGTAATCATCATGTGATCCATCCTGTCACCCATTCCCAACTTCATGAAGGTTGTCAGACTAGAGGTCTGCACACACGATTGTCCTTTCAAGGCTCAAGAGCTAGAAAGAATGAAAGGATGTCACCCACTCCAGCTGGCTTGGAAGCATATAAAGTGTTGCCAACCTTTTTTTTTTGAGGGGGAGGGAGGAGAAATGCGGGGAGTTAGTGTCAGAAGACAGGATTTTAGCTGGGACTGTAGCCAGTCTGGGGATGAGATGAGAAGCTTCAACCCTCTTTCAAATTTGAGAACTCTGTGTGGCTGCTGGCTCCACTTGCACTGTGTCTTCAGTTTGCACTGTTATAACTAGAGCATAATCTACACTAAGAAATTAATTCAACCCAGCAATGTCGGTTGGGGTGTGAAAAATCTACATCTATAGATTTAACCATCCTAATCCGCTGATGTAGACAGAAAAATTGTTTTGTTAACCTAACTCTGTAAACTTACCTACCACTTCTTGTGGAGGTGGATTACACAGGTCGATGGAAGTACCCCTTCCTTCAGCATAGGTAATGTCTACACTCAAGTACTAATGCAGCTGTGCCGCTGTAGCATTTCTCATGTAGGAAAGCCCTAGGTATTGTATGTAGTGTTGCAGTATTTACAGGGCATGGTCTCTTTTTAGATTCCTGCAATACTAGAAAAGAACATTGTTGTGTTTCTGTCTGGAAAGCAAAGCAGTTGCTTTGTTCTTAAATGTTACAAATTTGAAAAGTACATTACAGGAAAGCAGTTTTTAAAAACTTGTGGTGTGCTTGTAGGTGTTCATTTATCAAGAAAAGGTGCAAAAAACGGAAACAGTGATGATGGTGGAAGTGGTCACAGCAAAACAAGATACCAGGAAATGAAATGCAGTATCTGACAAAGAAACCACAATTTTCAATGTTTCTGCGGTGCTGAACAGTGTTCTTTTGACTTCCATTTAGTTTTTTAAAATGGCAGCATGAGCACAACTTTGTGCATACAGTTAGTTGCCTGTGTATTTTCTCAGATTCTTATACAAATGTTTTACTAAACAACTTCTTGTCTAATATTGTAGTATCTCTGTTGCTATATTCCAAAACTGCTTCTGAATATCTCTTAAAACAAATCTGTTCTAAACTATTAACTATCTTACTACAGGAAAACGAAGTAAAGTTTTCTTCTGTGTACATGCAAAATTACAATTCAGTGTAATTTGATAGTTCACATAGAAACAAAGCTACATGTAACATTTACAAATCCTACACAGCCGATTTTAAATTGTGTGTAGTGGCATTTGCAAAGGACAATGGAAACAGAGCCGCAGGGAGAAAATACTCTGTGAACAAAAAGTCTATTCGGGAGTGGAGAAAGGAAGAAGCAGAGTCATTCTTGTCTTCCCTTCAGTAAAAAAAACTGTATTACATGCGGACGCGTACAGGGGAAGGGGCGGGGTATGTAAAACTTCGCATAACCCACGGGTTTTATTCTTTAAAGTACGGTACATCAGTGTAGAGTATTAACACTTTGCTTTTCTTCTTCTGAGAGGAAAGGCATGGGGGAAAAGAGCAGCGATAGTCTTTACTCAGTACATTGGATTTACACTTTTCTTCCTACCACATATATTCACTTAATACAGCCAATAATGCAAAGACCATGACAGTGCTGCTCTGATTTAAAATTTTATTGTGCTTAGAGTGAAATTTAGCAAAGCTTGAAACCTAAGTGGTAGAGTAGAGGGGTTGACAATAAGTCTTTAAAGAGCCTGATTCATCTCCATTAAAATCAAATAACACTTGTAGCCATAAATATTCAGCAACCTGCTTCTCCTTCTAGCTCCTCCTTTACTTCTCTTTTGTACTGCAGACCTGGCTAAGTCCTTCTTGCCCCCAGTCAGTAGTCTGTAATTACATACAAAATTTGGGCCCCACATTCAGTACTGCCAACCTCAGTAAATCAGAATTTGTGAATCAGACCACCCAAAAGACAAGACTTTGTAGTTATACAGTGTTTTTTTTATTTGCCTTTGATTTAACTCTCCCAGACCATTGCCCCTCAGTCAACTTTCCCTCAAATTTATTGGGTAGGGTAATATTTGGCCTTTGTTGCAAGTGTTCCAATCCCTGTCCCCACCTCTCTTCACACAATCCCCTCCCTTCAGCTGTCCCCATCAGTTCAGGCTTCAGCCTCATTTCTGCTCCTCCTGCAGTTTTTACTCCCCTTTTCTAGGCTGGGGAGAGGTAAGGGTGAAAAAGGGTGGTGTCCCCTTCTCTTCGTCTTTTGCTCCTTCCCAGGTTGGGTATTGCAGGAAGAGAGGGGGAGGAGCAGATGAGACACAAGTTGCTCCAGAAGGAGAGCCAAGAGCTGTCAAGAGCTGCTCCTTCCACCTCCTCCTCCCCACCTCTGAGAATGTGTTTTTATTTTCACTCTATAATTTGTCAAGTTACAAGAAAACCCCAAATATTTAGCTTTTACAAAGTCTCCTGATTGGAAGGGGAGAGGTGGTCTGATTTTTTTGACCATTATTTTATGCTATCTACTTTCTTATTATCTACTATCTTATTTTGCTAGTACATTTAAACCAAACTATTCAATTTAAGTTTTTACTTTAGTTAGTGCAAGAAAATCTGAAAGTGAACCTAACAGGGCACTGGAATGTTTAGTTTGCATACACTGCATGGGACTGCATATGGTGCATTTGTTTAAAGCACCTACTCCATTTTATTTGTTGTTTTTTAAAAAGCAATACTGAATGCTTAAGGGCCTTCGGTGAGGAACCAGAAAGCCTTTGACAAGGTCTATTGCCACAGGTTCTTAAGTAAAGAGTCATGTAATAAGAGGGAAGGTCCTCTCATGGATCAGTAACTGGTTAAAATACAGGAAACATAAGGTAGGAATAAACGGTCAGCTTTCATAGTGGAGTGGGTAAATAGCAGGTATATGTACTGTGACCCATGCGTTCAACATATTTCCTTCAATGATATGGAGAAAGGTGTAGACAATGAGTTCCCAAAGAGAGCTAAAAGACTAAGTTAATCAATAGGCAGCAGGCTTAAAACTAACATCAGGAAATACCTGTTCACACAATGCATAGTCAACTTGTGGAATGTATCGCCAGGGGATGTTGTGAACATTAAAAGTATAAATTAGTTCAAAAAAGCATTAGGTAAGTCCATGGGTGACAGGTCCATCCATGGCTATTAGCCAAGCCGGTGAGGAATTTAATCCCAATACTCTGGGTGTCCCTAAACCTCTGACTACTACGAGCTGGGATTGGATAACAGGGCATAGATCATTCAGTAAATTGTCCTGTTATGTTGCCTCTGAAGCACCTGGCACCAGTCTCTATTAGAAGAAGGCAAGAGTGAAATTATGTGCCGGAACATACCAGTATGCTGGGATCTTGGGCCAGGTGGGTGGGCAGCAGCTCTGGTTCCCAAGAATGGGCCAGAACCTCAGTGGAAAGGGCAGGGTTATAGGATCAGACTCCCTCCAGCCAGTTCTTCATGGCTGCTGCAGCCATCAGGAACCCCCGGCTCTTTTAAATTCCTGAGGACCCAGGCAGTGATGTTTAATTGCTGCCATGGCAGCACTTTTGGCCATGTACAAGCCAGTACTGGGGACTGCTTCTTACCGGTACATTGTATCACTCCACTTAAACCTCTGAAAACAGAACACTGGGCTAGATGGACCATTGGTATTACCCAGTACAGCCATTCTTATGATCTTAAATAGTTAACAAATAAGTTGGGCTGAAAACCAACGCTAAGAAAAAATGACAAGAATCAATACACAATAAGAAACACCAACAACACTTTCTGTGGCTAACATGGAAGAGGTCCAATATGTCACATTATTCTTACTGTGCTGCCAGGATATAAGTAGAACCAAAGGAAAAAACATTAAATCCAGAGTAACAGAAGTCAGATATACCCTTGGCAATTCTAAAGCTGATATGGAGAAACAGAAATCTTCCCTTCCAAACTAAACTTTGACTTTATAGTGGTATTAACTTCTCAATCTCATATGGTTCAGAAACTTGGAGACTTAAAACCTTACTATCAAAACTTCAAGATCTAATGAAGTGTTGCCTTAGCCAAATCCTCAGTATCAGATGGCCCAACACACACACACACACACACACACACACACACACACACACACACACACACACGAGGAGGAAGACATAATAGAAATCAGTAGGACATGAAATTACAGAAAAACAAACATTGATATGGTTAGAGCATAGATGGAGGAAAAACCCAAATATAACAAGACAGGCATTGAACTGGAATCCTAGGGCAAGAAGTAAAGAACGGGCCAAGAGTAACATGGAAATGCACAATAAAAATAGAACCAAAAGCTATCAAAAAGATGCAAGAATCTTATACTGCAGCAAGAGACTGGCAAAGAAAAGAGTGGTGAAGACTACGTTCTGCATAGAAGAGAGAGGCATAAGAGATCTGTATGTACTAAATGTTTTTATTCAACTTTTCATTTAAGGTTTAGAGCCTATTTTAATTAACATAACCTTTTTCCCTTTGGAAAATACAAACTAGAATCTATCGTATTACATGGAGGTCTCTTCCTTGACTTTGAGATCAGGAGATGGGTTTAATCCATATGAGAAAAACTCAAAGGAATAAAGAGCAGAAATTATAACTACAGATGCAATGACAGGTGGATATAATAGCATAAGTATGTTCACTGTAAGAAGGGTCCTACCAAACTCACGGTCATGAAAACACATCACAAACCATAAAGTCTGGTCTCCTTGCATGAAAACTGGTCTGTTGTGTGCTTTTACTCTATACTACATAGATTTCATGGGGGAGACCAATGTTTCTCAAACTGGGGGTCCTGAACCAAAAGGGTCAGGGTTCATAAGATTATTTGGTGGGTCATGTATTTCCATCCTTACTTCTGCATGGTCTTCAGAGTGGAGTTGGATGGCTGAAGAGCAGCGGCTATTGGCTGGGCGCCTAGCTCTAAAGGCAGCACATGCCCCACCATAAGAAGCGCAGAAGTAAAGATGGCAATAACATATCATGACATCCACCTTCTGTGCTATGGCTAGAAGCAGCTCCCCCTTCAGAGCTAGGCTCGCAGACGGCAGCCACTGCTCTTCAACTGCCCAGTGCCAGCACCACCAGTAGCTCAGAAGTAAGGGTAGCAGTTAGGGATGCTAAAAATAGTTTAATATGGTAACCGTGTAGCCACTAAAAATCTTACCGGTAACAAAATTACACATGCTGCTGAAGCCTCCCCCAAGTGGGACCGCCAGCCCCTTTCAGCCCAGCCCAGGGCAGGACTTTGCTGCACTGTTGCAGGTAAGTCGCCTCACCGGGAGCCAGCTGAGTGTAGCAAATACCATTTACCAATAACCATTTAACTGATAAGCTCATGCTTATTTGGCTACAATCTAACATCCCGAGTAGCAGTACTGCAATCCCCCCCTCCTTACAATGACTTTGCAACCCTCCCTAAATCTTTTTTTTTGGGGGGGAGGGGGAGAGGGGAGGGTCAGGACGCCTAAAATCACAACACTGTAAAATTTCAGATTTAAATAGGTGAAATCATGAAAATTACTATTTTTAAAAATCCCATGACACTGAATTTGAGAAAAATTGAAATAATTTGCTAGGGCTCTAACCGTAAATTATAATTAAGTTTTCATTTTGTTGGAATCCTCTGTCACGCCAGACAAAATACATACAAGTGATATGCATCTGGCTCCTTTTACCTTGCCATTTCAGTGCACTATAAAGGTAAGTCACCTCAGGACCCATATGTAAATCTGAAATGGAACGCATTCTCAATCTAGGGACTGCCGATAATGAAAGGCAAGACAATATCTAAATAACTGGTACAGGAGAAGAACAAAACAATGGTGAACATTTCTCTGTTTAAAATGTTTTCTTTACACTGACAGCATAATTGTACTTATGTGAAGAACAGGCATTGCAGCTAATTCAGAGTACTGGTTAGAGAAATCCTATTTAGCAATATGGCTGAAAGGGTTGTTTATATCTTTGCACTCTTCTGTTTACATGCTATCTTATATTTAACACATTTCTACTAAATATTTATATTTCACCACAAATAAAGCTAAAATTTCCACTGGAATATTTAGTAATTACATTATTTTTTGTTCCAATCAGGTCTGAACTAGTTGGCTTTAAATATTGAGATTAATGGTACAGAACTAAATATAGATGTAAAGTTTATCTACCCTGAGAACGACCTTGTTAACAGAGCAGGATCATGTATAAAAAAACTAGTCCTGGATATCCAAGTCTACATGGTTGTGTGGAAATACCAGAATTACCACTATTCATCAGACTGAATAAATACAGTAATATTTTCTTCCTTATGACATAGTGCCAAGACATGGACTTGTAACCAATATCATGTGAAAGAACTTCTAAACTTCTATATCAGGCATCATAGCATACCTAAGGAAGTTGCTCAAGCATGGAAAATGTGTGTTTTAAAGAGGCAAAGTAAATGCTTCTATAAAACTTCCTTTCTACTATTACACAACTAAAGATTATTATAAACCAAAAATAAAGCCTTAAGAAATCTGAATGCATTTTTCTCAGTTTTAAAATTCACAGTTTTGCTTATCACTAGTGTGTACAAGCTAGTGGTTTTTATAAAAAGTTTCCAGTCAGTTTCATTTTCAGGTGTATGCACTACTCGGTACTGTGGTGTTTGGACTGAAAAGCCTGCTGGGGAAGTGTTGAGAGTTTTATTGACAGTTTAAATTTATTGAAAATATTTCCATTAGTATAAAACATATTGCAATAAAATTTTTACATTTTTTTTAGAACTAAGCTACTTGAAAATGGCCCTAGCCTGTTTCCTGTCAAATACTTTCATCATTTAGTTGGTTCTAGGGTTGTCAAGCGATTAAAAATGTGTATTACAATTAATCGCATGCCACTTCCCTGTGAAACGCCAGGCAGCATTTCAACAAGGCAGCACTGCATGGAGCCTGGGATCATCTGGAGTTCCAAGGTGACCCTGGGCTCCATGCGGCGCTGCCCCTTGGAAGCGCCATGGTGGTGTTTACAAAGCGCAGTGCAAGCCAGAGCCCGGGGTCAGCTGGAGTCCCCAGCTGACCCTAAGCTCCATGCAGCACTGCCCCTTTAAGGCGCTGGAGCAGCACTTCAAAGAGGCAGTGAAGCATTAATGCCTGCTATTAATGCATTAATTTTTTTAACACATTAATCCTGTCCTGCATTAATCGCAGGTATTAACGCAGGTCAATTGACAGCCCTACTTGGTTTCCTTACAAGTGTTCAATAAGATCCTTCCTTTCCTGTCCCATTTAGCCATGCTACATGACACCACAAAGAATCTCTCGAGATTCACTGGTTGCAGGTCTTGCTTGGCTTTATTTGCATTTCGTGATGCACTGCACAGTGAGCAAGACAACATGTCAGAGCTCTCATTTTCCAAGGCTCTAGCTTCCCTTGACAATGGGCAATATCTTTGACTATAGTTTCATTAACTTATTTAATGTGCTGAAGACATAGAAGAAAAAAAGCTTAGCACCTTTTCTAAGGCTTTCATGGGAATTGAAGGCATTCAGCACCCAAGAGGATTGGTCATTAATGATATAAAATATTTGGCTATTCTAATAGTCAATGCAATTTGCATCGACTATTCGATTAGTCGATAAAGAGGGCTCCACGCGACATTGCTACTTTGAGATGCTCCATGCAGCCCAGGCCAGCTAGGAGCTGCATGTAGCATTTCAAAGCCACAGCGCCATGTGGAACCTGGGGTCTGGCCCCAGGCTCCACATGGCGCTGTTGCTTTGAAGCACCCACCACCACTCCCTTCGCTGCCTCTTTCTGATAGAGTTAGCATGGTGGAGGGAAGCAACCAGTTGACTAGTCTGTCGACTATCCAATAAGCATTTGCTTCTTGGATAGACAACTAGTCGTTCACATCTCTAGTGGTCATTAGATTGGAGTACCATATTTACAAGGAGACAATATTTCCCCTCAGTCTCCACCATTCTTTACCTCTCACTCAAACTCAGAACATATCTTAGAGTAAAGGAAACACTGAAACACAGCCTAGATTTTATTTTAAAACTGTAAGTACTGCTACATCCTTTTCTCCTCCCCCTACCCCCCACCCTCTGCCTTACTACACACACTTAATACAAATTTGGTATGAAATTGATGGTATACAATCAGTACATTATGATTTAATGTTTACCTGCCAAAACTCTTCTTCATGTTTAATTTCTTGAAAATCAAGTGCATATTTAATGCTTATATTAATAAAGGCTGTTTCATATTTCACAGGATCTACTAAACTAAGGTAATGCTAAACTGAGTGGTTAGTCCATTATTTCCTTTAATAAAATACATATAATATGAAAAAAATCACACCCTCACTTTAACTTTAGCATGATCAAACTGAAGCAGTAAAAATAAAGAATTTCTCAACAATTTTTAGGTCACAGAGGTGTCTTGCACTAGAGGGAAGGAGAAGCCTAACCAACTACAAAAACTCCATTAAATACTGTCAAAGCTGCTGTGGCACATTTTTACATCTACTCAGGCACAGGATACAAAATAACCTCACTAACATTGAAGTCAGATAAGTAACTTAATATGGTGGTTTTTCAGTGCTGTGTTTGCATATCAACATGTTTTAATGGTAACTAACCAATGAGAATCAACCTCTAAGAAAACAAATTCTAGTGTAAATGTAAAACACATTAAAAATCAATGATTTAAATAAAGGTTTCCCGCATTATTTAAATAATTAAAATCTTATTTAAATTGCTTTGATTGAAAATTAAAAAAAAAAAAAAAAAATCAATCCTCCCTGGAGAAAGCCTTGAGACAGACAAAAAATAATTTAGCAAGAGACAGAGGACCCAAAAGAGTCTGTCCACAAAAACCTGACTTCAGTCACAGAAATGTTTACTTTTGGAAAGATTTGAGTTTGAAATGCTGAAGATACATTTAAGATTCATGTAGAAATAGAGCAAGGACAGGATAAGGCAGACAGGTCAATGTGAAAATTGGTTGCATAAAGACGTTAGTACAGAGCAATAAGCAGCTCCTGGCTCAGATGTAGTTGGTTCACCGGGTTTAGCTCTGGAAGGCTGCCAGATTCTTTATTTACCTGCAAGTAAATATGTATAATACCCACTCACTGCTCCCACTGGCCACAATTCATTGTTTCCAGCCAATGGGAATTGCGGAAAGTGGTGGCCTGGCTTGTGCCACTGTCTGCAGCTCCCATTGGCTGGGAACAGCAAACTGCAGTGGGCTCATAAGTTACCATTCATGATTACACACTGCCCACTGCAGCACTGGCTCCTGAGGAGCCACCTCCCTCACTCATGTAAACGTGTGTCACTGAAATTTTCAGCGGTTACACATTTACCTGAATAAACTCATTTTAACATCCCTACCAGAAAGAAGGGGTTAAAGCTGCCTAGCGAGCTAGAGGTGAAAGATACCTCATCTCAGACTTCGGAAGGAACTTCAGATTCTTAAATCATAGGTCAAGTTTGGTAGCTTTCAAAACCTCACATTGTTACCTGTCAAACCTGCGGAAAAAGTGTTTATAAAATAAACATGTCGAGTCATCATCCAAGACTGCTATAACATGAAATAAATGGCAGAATGTTAAACAGAGCAGGAGACATACAGTTCTCCTACAGGAGTTCAATCACAAATTTAATTAATGCATTTTTAATAAGAGTCATCAGCATGGACACACATCCTCTGGAATGGTGGCTGAAGCATGAAGTGGCTTACAAATGTTCATATCTGGCATGTAAATATCTTGCAATGCCAGCTACAAACGTGCCATGCATACTCCTGTTCTCACTTGCTGGAGACATTGTAAATAAGAAGTGGGCAGCAATATCTCCCACAAATGTAAACAAACTTATATGTCTTAGAGATTGGCTGAACAAGAAGTGGGAATAAGTGGACATGTCAGTTATAAAGTTTTGCATTGTTTTGGTTTTGAGTGTAGTTCTTATGGAATAAAAAAAATACACATGTAAGTTGCACTTTCACAATAAACGGACTGAACTACAGTAGTTGTATGAAGTTATTTATTTGGGCAGAAGATTTCATGGATAAAAATCACATGGACAAATGGGAGCTGTCCATGTTCAACCAAAGGTGAAGTCAATCTCTCAAGTACTTCTTCAAAGCATCACTTCAATCTTGTTTGTGTTCATCAGGATCCAGATGTTCTTCATCCAAGAACTAACATTAGTTGCACCAAAGGTGTGAGATACATAATTGAGTGTTTGCATACTGTTAGCAGCTCAACCTGATGCATCTATTTCTTTCCCCCAGTGGTCTTGTAGATATCGAAAGAGGTAGGATTGTGTGGATCCCCATGAGACTGTAAAGAAGAGGGTTTGGAGAGAGGAAGAATTTCTCTTCACCACTCTGAGAACTGGAGCCATTGTACTGCTGTGCCATCTACACCTTTGATGTAGCTCACTACAAGCCAGATTAATGTACTGAGTCAAGCATATATTGGTGAAAAACACAATCTGAGTTGCACTCTGTGATGTAATGTCAGTACCTTGCTGGTCGCTATGCTTGGGCTGTGGGTGACCACTACTGGCTGGTGTCTGGAGCATTGCCCAGCAGGTGGGCTGCCTAAGACCCAACCGGTCTGACCGGTTGAGGGCAGTGAGGTAACTAGGAAGTGAGTGTTGGGGGAAGGGGCAGTCTGGAGCTGGAATCAGTCTAAGGAGGGGGCTGGAATCTAGGGGCCCACAGACCCCATCTCAAGGGGTCTGAGGCATTCTGGCCCAGACTCCTGTAGACACATCACGTCTATGCTGTGCTGTATCCAGGAGAAGCAATAAACCCTCTCTATTCTACTGGCTGGCGGAGTCTGTTCTTGCTGCTACAGGGATGTAGGATCGGAGGAACCCCAACACGTCGTCACACACTCCAACAGTTTATAACCCCAAAGTTTCTATACCGCTTGTGGATTTATCCAAATACACACATGCACATACCCCAGAACAAGGAATCTTGTACAACAGTATAACATGTTTGGAAGGAATACACAAGATCATCTGCAAAAGTAACCCTACACCGTTTCCAATTCAGCTTCCTTGCAAGAAACCAAATGAAATGAAGTATTCATGGGAAAAATCATATTTTTATTGCAAATCTGTCAGTCTATGGACTACAAATTAAAGCACGATTTACAGGAAAACTTGAATTGAAAAAAAAAGTCAGTATAAACCTGCATTTTTCTGACGTTTTCGTGTGTGTGTGTGTGTGTGTAAAGAAAACTTGTCCTGCGGGATGACAGAGTGACATCACGTCACTCTGCATCCTGCAACACCTCTCGCTCAGCCACCCGGCCTCCTCCCTTCCCAGTGCTGGGGGCCACGCAGTTTTTCTGATGCTGAAGGGGGGACGAGGCAGATGCCATGCAGCCTCCCTGGTCATTACGGTGCTTCAGGGACAGAGCAGCAGCCATGCAGACTCCCCAGTGCTCCCTGGTGCTGGGAGTTGGGGTGGGAGCCACCACCCTCCCTTCCCGGGAGAATAGAAGGGTCGGGAGCTAGAGGGGTTGGGAAGAGCTGGGCCCAGCATGGCAAGGCCTCAGACCTCCTCTCCAGCAGCTGCATGGGGGAGGAGGCAAAGAGGAGGGCAGAGGGGAAAGGCCATGGCAGCCTTGGAGTCTCCCCAGTGGCCAGAAGCAGGGGGGCGGAAGAGCCAGGGCCAGGGTGTCCTCAGTATCACACCCTCCCTGGAAGTCAGAGGGAGAAAACTGGGCCAGCCTCAGCCCAGCCCAAGCCCCTGGCCAAGCAAGCTGGGG